AAGGAAGCCCACCTTCAAACTCCTCCTCAGCCATGAAACTCACCAGATGACCTCTGGGCAACCATTCCCTCCCAGCCAGAAAACTACCTCATCCCATCCATTTAATGTATTTATTTACTTCGTTTACCTTTTTTCTTGCTGTGGACCCAAAAAGCCTGACATAGATTTCTCCTCCATTTTATTCTCACAACAACCCTGTGAAGAGGTTAGGCTGAGAGTGTATGATTGGCCCAAGGTCACCCACCAAGCTTCCATGGCAAAGTGGGGATTTGAACCTGGGTCTCCCAGATCCTTGTCGGACACAGTAACCACTACACTACGCTGTCTCTCCTGTATACAGTTTGCCAGCTTTGTGGTAGCCTTACTCCTTATAGGGTGTCACCTTACACTCACTTAGACCATTGGTCCCTCCAACCCAGCAGCTAGGGTTGCCAACCTACCTGAAGATCCCCTGGAATTACAACTGTTCTCCAGGTGACAAGAGATCTGTTTCCTTGGTGAAAATAGCTGCTTTGGATCATGGACTCTATGGCATCACAAGCCTGCTGAGTTTCCTCCTCAGGCTACCTGTCCCCCCCCCCCCAGATCTCCAGGAATTTCCAAACCTGGACCTGGCAACCCTACCAGAAGTATTTCTCAGCCCTGCCTCCTGATTTCCATTCAAATGGAGATGCCAAGGACTGAATTTGAGATTATCTGCCCACAAACCAGATGCTCTGCCACTGAGCTACAGCCCCGGCCAGTCTAGATACTGCTATGCCATCCACCCAAACATAGCCTAGCAATCACAAAGGTTACGCGCAAGGGGCCTGATCAATGTGCAGTACCCACTGCCCATCTGAGATGGCAAAAGCCTGGCAGCCTACGATGCACGGCTGGTCTTGGACTTGAGAGGTTCCCAACTTTGCAGGCTGCTCTAGCAGCAGCTTGACAAGGAGAAACTTTGACGAAATTTTCCCCATCGCTCCCTTTCCATAAAAAAAGAGGGGAAAAGCTTTACCTGCTTAATTTCTGTCAGATCATATTGGCATTAAAAGGGCACATTTAAAAGATATATTCGGTATGTGTGTGTGAGCACAGGACAGGATCTGCAAAAACGTCTTGCATGTAAATTTGTGTACATGCACCCACATTCATTTTACACCAGTCTCTCAATCCTTTGCATTTCTGCTCAGAAGACAGTCCCTGCCACCCTGCATGAACCCTCTAAGAATTTACAGGCGAAAGCGTTCCAAAGCATGGAAAAGGAACCCAGCTCCATTAATGAGGCTCACAGCTCAATCCACAAACTACTTAAATTAGCTTAGCCTCCACTGAAGTGAAGTGGTACCATGCCAGCTTTTGCTCAGGCAGTACAAAAATCAATTGGACTAAGCAGGCTTAGGAGGAGATACATTGGCTTGAATAGTTTACAGATGCCTATAGGCTGTAAATCATAGAACTACAGAGCTGGAAGTGACTTCAAAGACCTTCTCCTCCAACTCTTTGTAATTACACAGGAGTCACTGGAGCCAACGACTCCCACACAGGGGGGAAAGGAGGAAAGGAGAAAGAAATGGGGAGCAGAGCTATTTCAATTAATATTTTTACAGCTTTTTATAAACACCAAACAAGTAATACAGAATGAAGAATGCTCCTGTTTTTATTTGTATTAACTGCAGAATTTGTAAATGGAAGCTTAAACTCAGCCCAGTTGAATCAGTACTGTGTATGGTATGTGTACACTTACACTACCTACTTAATCTGCTTTTGCTGTCATCATTTCCCCGTAAAGTACCCTGGAAAACAGTAGCCTTGCAAAGCTGCTAAATATTGTTAAAGCAAAAATAATAATTAAACAAAAAACAAACAATGACATGCTTCACATTTATATAACACTTTCAGGTGCTCAGAACTCTTTACAGTGATTAACTTATTAGAGGCTTTCACCACTTTCACACAATTACAGTTCATAAGATTCAGGCGAGAGCCTATAATTTTTAAGCCAGTTCCAACTCTGCATTACCCTGCTAGCAGCCATTACGATTCCCATGCTTACCCAGCCTTTACTTGAGGAGCAGCTGACACACCACTTTCCACCACACCACACATGTAACAACTCAGAGTGACAGCAAGAGAAGAATAAAATTAAAAAGCCCATCAGTCCTATGTTGTGACCTCACTTCCAGGGGTAACCTGGAAGTGACATCATGCCTTTCAAGATATCACCATAAATTCTATGGTAAAACCACCAGCAGTTTTTGATAATTTCTGGAGAGAAGTGACGTCACTTCCAGTTCCCCTCAAAAGTGACGACATAGTGTTGCAACAGCACCCATGTCTCTGCACCAAGTTTCTTATTCATTGTCAGGCCAGGCCTGGCAAGTTGGCAACCCTAACAACATGTGTGAAGTATGCCCCACACAAAGGCCAATAAACACAAAGGCCTAGTCTATGTGGTTTACTCCCTTCATTTTTAAAGGAAATTAATCAGGTTTTCATGTGTACAGATCTCTGTGTGCCACATGTTACATTATGGCAGGGGGTAGCACTAATATCTGCTCCTGTAGTACAATAAGATGACCCCTAGGCTGAAAATGCACAGAAACCCATTGTGTCACTTTTTATTTTTCCCCACTCTCCCTTCTGGGCAATATGCACTACTGTTCTCCTCTTATCTTCACAACAGTCCTGAAACGCAGGTAAACTAACAGAGGAAAGCTGACCAGGAAGCTGCAAGACTAAGCAGGGACCTGAACACAGGTCTCCCTGCTCCTTGTCCAACAGCCTAACCACATTACCACACCAACTCCCAGATCAAGTTGCCAGCTCCAAGTTGGGAAATAGCTGGAGATTTTCAGGGTGGAGCCTAAAAAGGGTGGGGGTTGGGAGCGGAGGGACTTCAGTGGGGCATAATGCCATAGAGTCCACCTTCCAAAGTGGCCATTTTCTCCAAGTGACCTGATCTCTGTCACCCGAAGATCAGTTGTTATGAGATCTCCAGCCACCACTTGGGAGGCTGGTAACCCTACTCCCAGAAGGGATTCCCCACGTGCTGCCTTGAACCCATCCAGTGCTACAGTACAGAACATGCCACACGATACTATTCAGTTTGCAAAAGTGCCCTTGGTTACCATGTTCCATTCATACAATGCTTACAGCCCCATAGGTTACTAAATACAGTAGGAACATTTCAAAACCTGCATTGTCTAATCCTCTAATCCCTTTCTTTTATGTTTTCCTTGATGGTTGCAAGATGCGACGAGGCTTTTACGTCTCGAGGTCCAATTCCTTCTGCCCGAACAACTGTGGAGCAAGACTGCAGCAAATGTCACCCTGTCATTGAGAGGAAGTATTTATTTAAAAAGAAGAAAAAACACAGAGCAAGAGACCGTCTAATATTCAAAACCATGGATTGGCTCGCTACCAGCTCATCCATTCTGATGCCAATAGACAGGGGGCTGCTGCTGCTTCCATTGAAAATAAATGTCAAACCAAGGTGGCACTTTTCCAAATTTCTAGATATTCTTAGGGAATATTTGAGCCTGTTGTGCTCCAGACATTGGCAAACATTGAAACTGGACGTTCTGCTGAGCCTGAGCTATAATTACAGGGACATAACAATGCTTTTGAAGCTGCAGAACTGTCTGTTTTTAGCTTAGCAACATTATATTGTCTTTGATTTCAAAGGCTGACTCACACAGGCCCTCTGCAGACATAAGACTTAACCACGGTTTGGTTGAGATTTCCTGTTGAATCCAATTAAGGCTTCTCTTAGCCCTTCTTCATGTTTACAAAAGACACATTCTTTTTTTGGGGGGTGGTGGTGCTTGCATGCCTGGAAATCATGGTGACTTCTGGCCACTGTGTGACAGAGTGTTGGACTGGGTGGGCCACTGGCCTGATCCAACATTGGCTTCTCTTATGTTCTTACGTTCTTAACCCCTAGTGGGGTTTGAACGTTTCAGAGCTTGATTGCCTGTCTCTGTGTCCTTGGGGGTCTCCCTTCCAAGTACTTGCCAGGGTCAGCCCTGCTTAGCTTCTGATATCTGATGAGATCGGGCTGCCTGGACTATCCAGGTCAGGGTGACACAAACCATTCTTTTTTGTTTTTTTATAACATGTATTTTCATATTTTCTACAACAAACAATACCAACATTTTTTATACAGAGTATTCTTTGGAGATTCTTTATACATTTGTTTCCATCCAACTATCTAGTTTCTGCCATCTTTTTTTAAACAAACTTTCATCTTTTGCCAACAGTATCATATTTAGTTTATCCATTTCTTTTATTTCCGTAATTCTTGTAATTAACTCTTCTCTACTTGGTATTTGTTCCGATTTCCAGCATTTTGCCAAAAGAAATCTGGAGTTAGTAAGAATGTAGAGTATTACACATACATCATTATATTTAATCCCTTCTGGTAATATGTTAAGTAGGTATACTTCTGGGTCCAACTTTAGATCTATTTCTACTATTTCTGTTATTAGTTTTTGTATTATTTTCCAAAATTTTACTACTTTCTCGCATCTCCACCAAACATGGAAATAGGAACCAACATTTTTCTTGCATCTCCAGCAATTACCTGATGCATTTTTGTAGCATTTTGTTACTTTATCTGGTGACTAGTGCCAACGATAGAGCATTTTGAAAATGTTTTCTTTATATGAAGTAGCTTTTAATAGTTTTATTGATTTCCACATTTTAGTCCACTTTTCCGTACTTATCTCCTGACCAAGATCTCTCATCCATAACCTCATACTTGGTTTTATAATTTCCTCCTTCATATCTTCCTTTAATAAAAAGCTATAGTTTTTGTATTAATTTATCAGATGTTGAGAGCCAGATTTTATCTAATTCCGACATCGTTGTTTCGAAGTCTATTTTGTCTTTAGCAAATCTTGATTTTAACTGGTTCTTTTCCCAGATTGTTAAGTTAATGTTTAGTTCTTGTAGGGTTTCAAAGGATTTTAGTTCTTTTTCTTTAGTTAATAGTAATTCATAACTGGCTTTCTTACTTCCACTCATCAATTTTGGCAATATAAACGCTTCCAATGGTGAGACCCATCCCGGTATCTTATCATAGAACTTTCCTTTTATATTCCTCCAGGTTTTAATTAATGCACCTCTTAATATGTGATTGTGAAAGTGTTGTTGTATCTGTTCTTTGTCATACCATACATAGGCATGCCAGCCCATGTATAGGTCATGACCTTCGAGTTTTAGCATTCTCTCATTTTTTAGTAACAGCCAATCTCTTATCCACCCCATCGCTGCAGCTTTATAGTAGAGTTGCCAATCCGGGATGCCAAGGCCCCCTCTTTCCTTTTTATCTCGTAGTAGTTTCAGTTTGATCCTTGGTCTTTTTGCTTGCCAAATAAATTTTCTTGTTATTTGATCTAGTTCTTCGAAAAGTTTATTGTTTTTAAGTATTGCAATGGTTTGTGCTAAGAACAAGAAGCGTGATCCAACATTGGCTTCTCTTATGTTTCTTGTTCTTAGCATGACACAAACCATTCTTAACCATAGTTTAAGCATCACACTTGCATACCTAAATTGTGTTGAAAGACTGGGTGTAAAACCAGAATGTGAAACCTTATTTCAAGTGGAATTGCTACCAATGGGTTACGTTAACCACAGTTCAGCATTACACCTGGGACAAGCAACTCAAGGTTATGGCAGTTCCTCCACCTGTCCCATTTGTACTGGGAAAAAGAAAACCAGATGTCATCTCATACGTGATACGCAGAAGAAAGCCTGGTTCAGAAAACTGGTCACATTGTACATTTGTGGTTTTAAACCAGGGTCAAGGCCACAAACCAGGGTTACAGCTAACCATGGAAAGGTGTTTAAGCTTGCCTCAAGTCACTGTGACACTAGATGCAATGCTGCAGAAACAGCAGTGGGGAGAAAGGTGAAGTACAGATGAAGTAAGTAAACAAACTGAACACAGCTTCTCAACCTACCGATGTCTTGTTGTCCTGCTTCTCCTCAGCTGAGCTAGCCTCCCTAAACTGTACACTTGAAAGAAATCTTCCTTCCTCATCACTACCCTGTTTCTATAGAAACAAGAAGGCATCTCTGCTCTGCTTTTACCCCCCCCCCCGAGAATGCATGGGGGGGAGAGCTCACAGTTCCATACTGAACACTTTCTTTATGCTTGCAGATAACTCCATTCTAAGCATCATTTACCCAATTAAGGGGAAAAGATGTCGGACAAAAACAGTGAGACAAACTTAATATTTAGGCTGCATCATCTTTCACATTAATGTGCCTGTGGTCTGCTTGTTTCCTACTCCACCAGCCCCCCAAGGGTCTTTTTAATGATTCACACATTTTGGAGATAAAAGGTTTTAAGCCATGCAGCCTCACAAGAGTTAAAAGAGGTCAAGAGGATACATGCTTAACCACCAGTTGACTCTTAAAGTTAGAAATCTCTCAGCCCTTGCATAAAATCTCTCTCATCACTGCCACCATCAATTACTCTTGATAATGACAGAGCTGCTAACCACAGAAGGAGCCACATGGCCCATGTGGCTGCCTGGGCTCCGCTCCTCCGATAGCGATTACTCTTGCTTGTTCTCTCATTGTGGTTCTTCTTGAGAGACAGGATTTGCACAGGAATTACTAGGGCTTGTAAATATTGTATCTGCCTTCTTGTAATCACTGGGCAAACAAACTGTCAGAGGTGGGAAGGACTCTCAAAAGGAAGGCTGTGTGTGCGTGCGTGCACGCGTGCACACACACAAACACACTTTAAGACTTTCCAGTTAAATCATGTCAAAGGGGGAGAATGAATTCCCAATTATCTGATATATTTTGTCTGACAAAAACATTGATAGCAGAGCCACCATTGTAAATAGCTGCTGGCCTACTTACCTCTGGTGAAACAACAACTAAAAAGCCTGAGAGGGATTTGTAAAGGTAAAGGTTCCCTTGCTCGAAAGCCAGTCGAATCCGACTCTAGGGTTGCAGTGCTCATCTCCGTTTCAAAGCCGAAGAGCCAGCGCTGTCCAAAGACGTTTCCATGGTCATGTGGCCGGCATGACTAAAAACCAAGGCGCACGGAACCCTGTTACCTTCCCACTGAAGTGGTACCTATTTATCTACTTGCGATTTTTTGCTTTCGAACTGCTAGGTTGGCAGGAGCTGGAACTAGAGACGGGAGCTCACTCCGTCATGCGGCACACTCGGTTCTCGAACTGCTGAACTACCGACCTTCCACAGCCTGCAGTTCAGCATCTTAAACACTTGAGCCACCGCAGCTCCTGGGGAGAGGGATTTGAGGGGGAAATAAAAAATAAATAAAAATCCCCCGAGAGGGATTTGAGGGGGAAATAAAAACAGTCTACAGAAATTCTCCAATACAAGCGGCATAGCAGAAACTAAGTACAGTCAGAACTTAACTAAGAAGAGTAGGCACGTAGTCTTCCCCTATCTAGCACTTTTACAACTTGGTTGCTATGGTTCCTATCTCTTTTGCTGCTAGGGCTAAGAACTCCGCCATCCCCTCGGGCCAGTCACATACTTTCTCACTTACCTTATAGGGCTGTTGTAAGGACAAATGGAGGAGAATGATGAAAGTTACTGTGGGTCCCCAATGGAGAGAATGGTGAGGTATAAGTAAAATAAAATAATAAATCAATAAAACAATATAACAACAGGCACCCTGTGAGATAGGTGGGGCTGAGAGAGCTCTTTCCAGAACTGCTCTTTCAATTTACAGCTCTGACAGAACTATGGCTTGCCCAAGGTCATCCATTAGCTGCAAGTGGAAGGGGGGGGAATCAAACCCAGTTCTCCCAGATTAGAGTCTGCGCTCTTAACCAGTACACCAAACTGGCAGCAGATCCATGTCAGACAAAAGGAAGGTCCTTCACACAGTGTATAATACATTTAACAGAATTTGTTGTAACTTGTGGTAATGGCAGCTGGCTTGGCTCGATTTTAAAAGGACAGACAAATTTCTAGGAGGCAGACAGGTATATAATGGCCACTTAACCATGCCATACTAAATAGAGCTTCTATATTTGTAGGCAGTCTACCTCTGAATATCAGATGCGGGGCATGTGGGTTTGCTAGGAGCATCTGGTTGGCCACTGCTGGAAACTAGATGGATCTGAGTCTAACACAGCAAGCTTCTTCTTATCTGCTTGTGTTCTGCTTTGTTGAAAAGAATGCATGTAACACGAAAATGTTTTGGTTGAAGAACCTGACCTATATACACCCCATTTCCCAGCTGTAGATCCACACTAAATAATGATAATACTCAGTATTTATCTGGCACACTCAATCTTAAAATAATGAACCCAGTGGAGCATTGCATGCTACAGAATTTCAACACGGAAGACTTCTTCTGTGTACAGATTACTGTGCAGCTGCATGCAAACTAACAAGAAAGGAGAGACTCCTATGCACAGATGTGCTGGCTGTTGTTGGTTATGGTTTCTTGACACATTATGACATTTCTATAGGTTTCAAATTAGTTTTTCTACTAAGTGCCTTGGATATAGGAATTATATGCAATACGTGCGGAGAAAGGCAAATATGACACAAATATTCTATACGTCCAATGCTTTCATCATTGTCACTTGCAATGACATAAAGGAAATTCAGATCAGAAATCTGATAGGAAAAGGAGTAAGTCATTGATGAAAGAAAGGGGCATCTCTCACATGTT